GTTTGAAACATTAAAAATAAAGATGAGATACACTACTACAATGCAAAGGTTCAACAAGGAAGAATTAGCAACGTAGATAAGCATGTAAGCAATGCATATTATAACATCCCAAATCTCACATTAATGGAGAATCATGGGTGAGTTTGGTATAAGTGTAGAAATAAATTATTATAAATAAATTGAGTTTAAATTTTTGAGATCTTATAGACCTTAATTCAAAGAGTTGTTAGATTAATGGTGGGTTTCAAAATACAAACTGATGTCTAATATATTGTCATAACTTTTTCAAGCAAGACAATTCTTTTTAACATATACTAACATGGGCCACATTACTGAAAGTTAAAATCAATAACGTGACAAAAAAATACTAATTCTCAATTAAAGTAACTTTTAGTCTTAGAAAAAGGGCAATATGTCATATCTCAGTGATTTTTGACAAAAAAAAAAATATTAGGATAATGTTATTAACAATTTTCATTTTATTTAAGAACCATAATGTATTTTTTTTGTTTCTTGCTTGAATAATATACACTCGTATGTATTTTTAGCTATTATTTCATAATTTAATTCATAACTTCTAAGTAGTTTAACTCAATGATATTATATTAAGTTTTGCAAATTAAAAATAACATTAAATATTATTATTGTTGTTTGTAATACAATGTAGGTTTATTTTTCAAAATGTTTACTATTATTGATTACATTTTATAATATTTATATATTTTACACTAGATTTTAAAATTTATGAAAAAATAAATGTCAAACACCAACATATATTACTTTATTGAGTACTCTAAATCTCAATGCATCAAAAATTGTGACAATTCAACTATTTAGAATTGAGCATTGCAATTTACTTGGGTGATTGAGATTTTTTTCATTTAGCATTTCAATACATGATGCTAAAGTTTCCTTTTTCTTTTTCTTTTCTTTTTTTCTTTTGCATTTGGCATTATGATGTACAGCAGTGTGTACCATTTAAAATTCAAAAGCTTGCCATTTAACCTTACAGTCAATTAGATTATGGCTAGGATCATTGCTCACATCAATAAAAGGCATCTCCTCTTTACAAACTTATCAAACCCCCACCCTCTTGCACTATGTATTCATCTTTCTCATTGCCATTTCTAACCTTTGCCTATACTCTAGCACTAAATCTAGGTAGAAAAGCTAAGATTTTTGGCTAGATTTCACCAACATTTCCACCCTAAATGTAAGTTCTACCCATTTCAACCAAATCTAGGTTTTTTTCTTTTCATTTTCATGCAAGATTTTTTGATTTGTTGTATTTTGGTTGATCAAAATAGTAAATCTTCACTGCAAAACCCTCCTCTTGCACAAACATCACTCAATCTATTGTGTGTGGTAAGTATTTGAATGATTTCTGATTTTCTAACATCTTTCCGGTGGTTTTTCGATGCCTTTTCAATAACCTTCTCATTTTTTTTTAAAGCATTAATTCTAACATTACTTTCACTCTATTATAGTTTTGGATAAAACCATTATACCATTCTCACCATAAAAGTAAGTTTGATTATAAGAATGTCATAACTCAAATTTTAGTAGGAGTTTATTTTATTTTAACTAATTTGTTTTTATCTTTGTTTTTCTTGTTAGGTTCATGAGTAAAATGGGGATTTTTGTGAACGATTGGAAAGAAGTTGAAGGATGAGGGACCCAGTTGAAGAAATGAAAAGTCGGAGGGGTGAAATGCAAAGTCTAGCCCAAAACCCATCAAACTCAATCCAAAACCCACCAAACTCAAACCCAATTACCCAAAACCCAAAACCCACAATTACCCAAACCCAACCCAGCACCAACCCATTTCAATTTAAAACCCAATTATCCAAAAAAAAAAGGAAAAGAGGGGATCTGGAACGTTCTCCTTCCCCCATCAATCTTTCCTCTCTTCTGCAACCGAGTTAGCCTACCCCTCTGCACCACGCCTGCGCTCAGCACCCCTAGCTCCTACGCCCCTAGCTCATGCGCCCAGCTCTGTACCGAGCCCTGCATCCCCGGCCTCTGCGCGCCTGCACTCTGCGCGCCTGCACTCTGCGCCCAATCCCTGCCCTGCATCGAGCCCTGCCTTGCACGCTTCTGTTCCCTCTCCTCTGCGCCTCACTGCTGGCCTTGCTTCCTGCACCTGCTCTGCACCGAATCTGCATCAATCTCCAGCTCTGCACTGCACCAGCCTTCCTCTACACCAGATCCCCTCTCCTCTGCGCCACCCACTGCCGGCAATGATGTCCCTTTGCACGCCAGCATCGCGGGCAATCATACCCCTCTGCACCGAGCCTGCGCGCAATCATGCACTCCAGCACCCCCTGCTCTGCGCCCCTACCTGCTACACCGAGCCTAAACCCCTGCTGCTCTGCCAGAGGCCTGCACAAGAAACAAAAAAAAAAAAAAGAGCTTTCGGTCCTCGCTTTTTCCCTGCAGAAACCAGTAGCTTGTCGAGAGGCTAAAAGGTTCAAATCTTGGCATTTTGGGAATCAACGGTGGAGAAGAAAAAAGGAGGATCGGAAGGCTAGGAAGAGGAGGGTTTTTGCCTTTGCTTTTATGGGGTATAAATAGAGGGTTTTAGGTTAGAAAGAGGGGGTTTTTCTTTGGTTTGAGCTTGGTGCTGACGGCGGTTGAAAGGGAGGCTAATTTCTCTGTGTTTGCTTCTACTTTAGGTAATTTCTGAACAGA